ATACCCTTTCCCTTTCCTCCCGCTCTCTGCCCCTCTAATCTTGGAGATGGTTCAAACTTGGAGACCTGGTGTAGCCAGTCCCGCTCCTGCCACGGCTGATGCCCTGCCAGAGGGATGGGGCTTGGGTTAACGAAGCCTGGAGGAGCGGTTAGCAAGCGCAGGGGGAACGGCCTGGGGCCGGCCGGCTGCTCGGCAGGTAGTGACGCAGGTGGCTCTCAGCCACGGTGCGGAGCTGATGGGGACCTTGGGGGCTAACCCGCTACAGCAGGACAGGAGCACGGGCTTTCTCTAGGGTGGATGAGCTGTCCCTGGGTGGCTCGGCATGTCCTTGGGCTGCTGCGCAGGGGCATCAGGGGGATGTTAGCGAGGGGGCGTCCCTCCAGTCCGAGAGCACGCAGTGTGGCCGAGCAGCTCCTGTGCTGGTTGATCATCTCTGGCTTCCGGTCATGCTCCATCCATGCGTTAGGCTTCGGTTTGGTTCCCGGGCCGTGGCCCAGAGCGCTGGGCTCCTGCTGGCCATGCTTCCCCGAGCAATGTATTCTTCTGTTCCTTCTTGTCATGTTCCTTTTTTATTCCTTTTGCCTTCTACACAGCTGCTTCCGCCCAGTAGCATATCATCATCATCATCAGTAATCAATAATATGGAATCTGAATTCCATGGAGCCATGATGGAACCTGATATATTGTTAAATAAAAGATTTTTTTCCTATGGAAACCTGGCTGTCTCCTGTGTGCGTTTTTGCTGCCCCAGGTTCTCTTTTGAAATCACAGCCTGGCTTTGAAGAGATCTGGGGCAAGTTAACTCATGCGTTTCATCGCGGGCTTTTCAGCTACTGGTATTAGAAGGAGCTGTTATGTTTGTTCTGATGAGCATTAAAAAGGGTGATTTTTACATAACACTTCTAGCTGTGCATGTACAACTCTCTGCAATATTAAAAGACCTTAGTGCTTCAGCTAGGGCCAGAATTAGCGTTGATTCAATCCTGCAATTGAGCTGCCATTATCAGTTGGAGCGTGGAAAGGGGGAACAGGATGGGGTGCAGACAGCCTTCACGACGGGATTCGGTTTAATGTGGAGGGTCTGCACTGGGTCACCCACCAGGGTGGGTGGGTTTAGTTTAGTGGGTTTCTTTGCAGTTCTTGGTCTTGGAACAGCTCTGCCTTGAGGACGGATTTTCCTCCTGGTGCTGCAGCGTAGCAGGTCACTGGAAATTGGCCCTAGGAGAAACACATGCTGCTGTTGTCCTTGTGTTGTGAAGGCTGCAAATGTCAGCTGCTGACCTGTAAGCCATGCCTCTTCGGGTTTGAAAATGCCTTTCAATATTTAACTAATGCCACTGTGAAGAGCTGGAGTGATTCTGCTCCCCTGCTGTTTGGAGGCAAGTTGATTTCAGTGTCTATCTACAGCTGTAGCCTGCTCTGAAGCCAAGAGTTTCAGTCCTTCACAAGCGTCCTGCTTCCTTTGTAGCTGAGATCGGTGCTGCCTGTCCAGCCTGTGACGCTTGGTCACTCGCAGGAGGTTTCCATGCCCCCGTGGCCTGCATCCCCCGTGGGACGAGGATAAGCTGCAGGGGCTTAAGCGTCTGCTTCCGTACTTGAGAGCGGCCAGAGCCTCGTGGGAGGCATTTGTGGATGTCTCAGGACAGGAACGTTCATCCCATTTAGTGACTGATATTTATTTAGTCATTCCTCAATGTACCTTCATTTAATAAGTTATTAAAAAGTCATTTTAGGAAATGGAATGGTAATAAATCCTTAACAGATGGTGCTTTAACCAGCTCCAAAATGGGCTCCACCATAGTCATTGCTCTTGCTCTTTATAACCAGCTTTAATATGGTAGTTTGC